TATAGGCATACCAGACTCAACATTTCTGAAACTGAATTTAACACCTGTCCCCCAAAATTTTCTCCTATATTGGCTACTATTGTTTAATGGTGGCATTATCATGCAAACATGAAAGCCAGGAATTTGTTCCCATGTTTTCAACCTCACAGCCAGTCTCTGGGTTCTGTCCATCCTCTCTTAATCCATGCAACTCCTGCCACCCAGTTCAGGCACTCACCTGTGTCTGGACAGCTGTAGCTTTTAAACTAGTTTTTCTATTTCATTTCTTATTCCTCCGGTCCATTGTCCTCATTATCATCAATGTTATCTTTATAAAACACTTATCTGTATCCAATTGCTCCATTGTTTCAAATTGTGGTGGCTCCCCATCTCATGTAGGGTAAAGTCCAAATTTCTTGGCATGTCATGAAAAGTCCTTTGACATCTGGCCACAGCCCACTTATCCAACTTTTTCTCTACCATACCCTCTCCTGCACACAGAACATACTCATACACATACTACACATATGTGCACACACACACACACACACTCCATAGCCACATACATATACATATGCCTATATACACCATTCTTTGTTCTGACTACACTTGATCATGTTATATTTAGCATTAAAATATTTTCCAAATATCCCCTCTCTCCTCTCATCCTCAGCCTCTCAGCTGCCTTTGGCCACCCTCTGATAAAGGAACTCCCCTCCTCCCTGGGTCACCAGCTATACCTACCCAACCTGGCCTATGCTTTGCTCTCTTAAATACTAGCTTGTGAGCTACTGTTTGACTTGAAGTTATGAATTGGGGCTCAGTATTTAAAAATAATTACTCATATATTTCTAATGTACAGTCTGGTTTGGAAGTGATTGCTTAAATATCATCACTGCCACCCCCCTTTCCTAACAAATTAAAATTCCAGTGTTGCCCATACCACCTTGTTGTGGGATGACCACCAAGACAGGTAGATTTCAACACCAAGAGTCACTGATTGTATCTGTTTAAATGAATTCCCTCCAAAGGGGATGATGACTGCTCTCTGTCTTCATATGGTAACAGCCCTGGGCATATTAAAAGGGAGAAGCCTGTTAATGTAAAGAGATGAGCATCTAATGATGGACTTTTAGACATTCAGCAAAATAAAGACACATGTTCAGTCAGTGTGTAAAAAACAAAGAGTTTCAGAAAGAATGGGGAAAATATCTGGAACCAAAAGTATCCTGGCATCATAAAAGTATTACTGCTAAAGCCACAAGCTTTAGTCTTGACTACCAACCCTGCTTGGCTTGGGATATTACTAAAAGATTCAGCACAGAATAAAAGAGGAGGAATCATGGAATGTTGTCCCTCTAATCAGCAAGTCAAAGAACTGGAGGGTTGTGTTTTTTTATTTTTTCGCCCAGTTGTTATGGTAACCAGTGATTTACCAGAACACATAGAAGAATGGCTTTCTGAGAAGAATTCTGATAACACAAATCATGAGACAATAGGTTCTGTGTATGTCAGTGATTCCTAAGCCCCTTCAGATGATCTACTGGGGCTTTATTGATCTTGTTTCAGTGAATTCCATAAGGCTAATCGTCAATCATATCTTTATGAAGTACCTACCTTACATAAGGCAGTGTGCTAGGCCCAATGTTGAATCAGAGACAACTTGAAATATGGTTCAGAGAAATTGCAGTCTATTTGGAAACGAGTCCAAGCATGGAGAAAGAAAATTCTCTCAGCCCTAACCAATTTCAGTCCCTCCATCATCCTACTCTCTAGCAAAAGTCCACTTATCAAGTTACCACCTTCCCCTGCACAGCTAAGAAATCTAGGGAGGCAGAAGGGTGATTGAACTGAGCCAATCTGGTGGTCCTATGACTCTGGCCAGTGTCTGATTTAGACATGCACTTGTCATGCACGATTGGCCAATGAGACGTAGGGGGAGATCTGCTGGGGGACTTCTGGGAAAGTTTCACTCCTAAGAGAAACATTGGCTAAGAAATATACTGTCGGGTTTAGATGTGAAGTTTGGAACAAGTACAGCCATCTTGCAACTGTGATGTCAGCTAGCTTAAGGATAAAGCCAGTATACCGAAGTTAGCCTCATGGAAAGATGGAAAGAAATGAGACTTTGATGTTGTCTTTGAGCTTGCTTCTGAATTATTGAAATTTAAGGCCATAGTACCTCTTGGTATCTTAAAAAAATTTTGTATAATTTAAAACTTGGCTATATCA